GAACAAGTCAAGTCATAAGATACAAAGATGTCAACAGAAATTGAAGAAAAAAGTTCATTCTTAGATTTTTCTTTTACTTTAAATTTAGGAATATAGCTACAACTAAGGATAAAGCCAGGGTTTTATAAAATAAATATTTTTCACTCGGAAGTATTTCACACTTGTTAAAATGTTTTAGGCTGGCCTAAACTTCACTGGTTTGTAACAGAGCACCTAAGTCGACCTCCTAAAGACTGGCTCCCTCCTCCCCGGCTGTCTGATGAAGCCCCAGCATATATAGAGGTATGCTTTACATACAGTCTCTTCTTATATGTCAGTTGATTCCAGCAGTATGAATGACATTATATAATGAAATGGTTCTAGAAAAAGAACTTTTGTTCGCAAAATTTGAACAAATAAAAAAAAAGAGAAAAAAGTTTTGTTCTTGGTAAACAGTTGTGAAAGCTTTTTGAAATAGAATATGAACAAAAAATATTGCATATAATGGCAGTCTATTGGAGTTTTCTGTTGTTTTTCCAGTATACTCATGGTGGTAAAGATGGCAGTGTGATGGGGGTTACTGTCACTAGGAACAATATGTTATGTCACTGTAGAACCCTCACTGTAGCTTGTAATTATACAGAAGGTAAGTAGCAAACAGAAGAGGTGTAATGTGTAAAAGACTTCTCTTTTTTGTATTGACTTAATTCCACCAGAAATCACTTAAATATGAGTCTCTAAGTGAATAAGAGAATAAATAATAGTCTATGAATTGTTTCCTGACTATAATCAGTATTGTTCCAGACCAACAAATAATACCTCTCCTCTGGGAAATTAAACATTGATCCATAATGTTTTCTGCAGCAATCTTTGTTTTATGACACTGCAGTCATTGTTGATAATAGCCTTAGGTGTAAAAATGCTCTCAGAATAAAACGAGTGACTGTGTGGTCATGGTTGTCCACTTTCTTTCTTTCTTTCTTTTTTGTAATTTAATTGGTTGTATTTGTCAGAAAGACCCACAGTCATCTTGAATATATGACAGGTCAGATGTTATAACTTGGCCTCAATACAGGTGAAACCTACAAAAAGAAAAAGAACTGTTGTAATATATGGTCACATTTACCCCCTTGACTCTCTCAGAACTAATTCTGTGCCTATACCAAGTTTACCTTGAATTACATTCACAATGCATCTCAAAATGAATTCAAAAAGAAAGAAAAAAATAGAACCATAAACTTGTTTTTGTTGTTTCAGGGGAGGTTATGGTATGTGTATTAGACTTCAAGAAAGACGTAGGACTATGGCATGGTATTTTAACAGTAAGTTTATCAATATTCTTTCATAATATCAACATGCTTGATATGTATCAGCACAATTTCTTTTCTTAAGCAAAAATATTTTTCCAAGTCCATCTTTTAAAATAGGATTACTTCATGTTCTGTGTTCTATTTCAGAGTGTCTTCAATGGCATGCATGTAATCTTTGTCCCATATTCTCTGATGAAAGTTGACCCTGCTTCCTGGATGAAGATGGTCACAAGATTTAAAGGTCAGTGTTGCATGAGAAAATGAGGATTGTTAAAAACCCTGTTTACTAAAAGCTCCCATTGGGAGACAAAAGTTTTTTTTTTTATTTTATACAATAGCTGCTGTATAGAATATAATTTTTGGAAACAATTTTATGAGTGTTCCAAAATTAATGCTTACTTTTAAAGTTGCAGTTTGTGAACACATTTGGAAAGCCATCATCAAACCGGTTAGTCCAGAATTTATACTGTACTTCAAAAGTTCACAGAAATCCCTGCTATATTTTCATATTTATCATTATAGCAACAATAGCAGTGGTGAAGTCCCGGGACATGCATTGGGGCCTGCTAGCTCAGAAGGACCATAAAGATGTCAACCTGTCCTCGTTACGTATGCTGTTGGTGGCTGATGGTGCTAACCCATGTAAGTAGACACATACCCTAGGGCACCTGTTAACATTTATGGCTTCTAAGAACTTAAGTGGAGGATACCCCTTCCTGTGGTTTTAGCTAGGTTAGAAATGAACACCAACCAGGTAGCGAATTTCTGGCACTTTTCCAGGGAAGTTTCCTGTTTACAAACAAAAAATTCTCTGTGGCAGCTGTAAATTGGGGAAGAAATAATGTATTTAGTGTTAATGGCCAAGCTTTTAGTTAGGATACTTTGTACCTTTTTCGTTAATGTTCTGTTAAGTGGCTCATTTCTGTGTTGTAGTTCAATCTTTGTCACTAATACCGTGGACCCTGTCATTGTTTTTTTGTATCTGTAGGTGCAAGTCAGTTTCTGAGTGATGTAGAATACATTATGAGTTTGTACTCGGATGAGCCGTGTACACCTCAAGGTGTGAGATAAACTGCATCTGTATTGTCATCTAGATTGATATCTACTGAATGAGGCTGGATTCTTTGTATGAGGCTATAAAGCATATATTGTTGTATGGATTGAATCTGAATTCTGTAGTTCTGATACAGAACATCAAAGCATTTACCTGAATACCTTTAATATATGTCCTAATTTGTGTTCTTGCTATTAAGGAGTGTTAACAGTTGAATTGTGTGAGACTTGACTAGCACGTTGATGCATGGTAGAATTAGTTTCAAATGCATGAATAATTTATGATTTGAATGTGATTGCCATGTATAAACCAGCCAATTTGATGAAGAATTTTAGCAACAATGTGCATTAGACAAGTATTTATTAAGACAAGCTGGTATGATATGATATGGCCTTTATTGACTTTCTCGATCTATTTGCAACTTTTAAAAACATCTTTGTATCTCATGTGGGATAGATATTTACAAACTTCAACAAGTAATGATATGACTAATATTTTATGCAATACACCATCTCCCGAGTAAGTAAAGTGTGCCAAGCCTGATGTGATGGAACCAGTCCAAAGCATGATATAGAGTAGCATCTTGATGTGTCTTTATTACTGGCCTGACAACCAATTGTCATAATATCATCGCCATCACGTCTGTTTAGTTCATGACAAAACATATCTGTGTGGCTTTCAAGATATCAAGATATGTCATATACTATTTATTTATTTATTTATTTATTTATTTATTTATTTAAGTTTTTTATTATTGGTTGAAAACAAGTTTTTTTTAAATGTAAGAGTACATTGCTGATTACAGTCTTAAAGAGCCCTAAAATATTGTTTAAGAAGAAAAGAGAGATTAAGCATTTTTGTTTGTTTCTTTCTTTGATGTGGCCCCTGCCTAATCTGTCAAATGTCCCTGTAATCAGTAGTTCTAGCAGACTCGCGTAACATAGCCATGATCTGTGACCTAACTTTGATCAACAGGAAGAAGTTTGGAGACAAAACTGCTGCCAAGCAAACCTTTTTGATATGAAACCATTTGTTTTTGATGTCGTATGCTGCAGGAGACAAATAAACGGAAGGAAATGCTTTCCATTCAACCCCTAAATTATAATTTGTTGACATAAGGGTTTTCAAAAGGCCATTTTAAAACAGAAACTATATGACGAAATAATATTTAATGGTACTCTTGACTCATGGACAAGAACTTAATTAAATTACTTATCCTTCTGTTATCTTTTTAGGGTCGCTGACATCCTGTGATTCTTTCTTGAATGTCTTCCAAAACAAAGGTCTCCGCCCAGAGGCAATATGCCCATGTGCAAGCTCTTCAGAAACACTGACAGTCTCCGTTAGAAGGTATTTTACATATCAATTTAGAAATTTAGTAAACGCTTTTAGTGGATTGATTGTCATATTTTGCTTAAAAATGTCCCAATTTTTTCTCTAACATATTAGGCCAGTCAATAAACAACTTAGGTTGGAAAAAATTGGTGACAAAGGTTTCTCAACTGATTCTGGTCCGTTGAAGGCCCAATATAGCCCAAAAAATTTCCCCCATGAATCCCCCCATGGCAAAGTATCATTTTCCACAAAAATCCAAAATGGCCGCTATTGAATGGGGTGGGTGGAATTGAAATCCATAACTTGGGAACCCAATGTCACAGAAACATGTTTTAAGTATCAACTCCTACTAAGTGAGGGATCCCCAATCTTTTGCAACTAGTCTCAAGGTCACTGGAGGTCAAGGTCATGACCTTATTACAAGGTCAAAGTATTTTTGGAGGAAAAAAACCCGTAATGTCTATATGACAGTTTCCCAATGTCACAGAAACATGTTTTAAGTATCAACTCCTACTAAGTGAGTGCTCCCAAATATTTTTCAACTAGTCTCAAGGTCACTGGAGGTCAAGGTCATGCCCTTATTACAAGGTCAAAGCATTTTTGGAGCAAAAAACCCATAATATCTATATGACAGTTCCCCCATTGTCATAGAAACATGTTATAAGAAACAATATCAACCAAGTGGGACACTGCCAAACACTTGCAACTATTTTCAAGGTCACCAGAGGCCAAGATTATGAAAAAATTTCAAGGGCATGGTATTTTCCAAGTGAATTATATCATATTATCTATAACTTGGTAACCGTATGTCACTAAAACATGCATGTTTAATGTATCAATTCCTACTAAATGAGAAGTCAACAATCAATTGCAACTAATTTAAAGGCCACCAGAGGTTAAGGTTATGACCGCTAATTACAAGGTCGTGAGATTTTCAAGCAAAATTCCATAATTTCTCAATTACCAAATGTTACAGAAACGTGTTTAGCGTGTTAATAATGCCTTGTAAATGGGGTCCTGTTTATCATTTGCAACTATTTCCAAAATCTAGGAGGTACAGGCTTGACCTTATTGCAAGGTCATCATGAAATTTAATGAAAATTTGATTCTAGGGTGATCTAAGTACAACACATAAGATTGTTTAAGAGCAAAATATGCATTTCCATTCTTTATGACAAATGTTACATTTTAAAGAGCGACCTGAGCCCATTGTTGTTTGATGTAAATACTTCATTTTAATACAGGTACTACTGGCATAAGCTCTCTTCTTGTCTGCCCAATGATTGACCTAAAGCCTTCTTGTCCCACCTTTGTATGTATGGTCTACTTTGGAGTATCTGTGTGCCATTGTAGAGAGGAGATAGTGGATAAAACACATTTATTTGCCCATTTAATCAGTATCTTTGTTTGGTTGCTTTTATGACAACCAAAGGCTAGCCATTACTGAATTGCCAATGGTAAAATGTGTTGATTCTTAATGGTTGATTCAATACCTATAGCTCCGACTCTGCTCCATCATGGATGGGTGAGGTCTAAAAGCTATACCCTCTCCCAAGCCTACTGAGCATGCTGTCGCAAGCCAAATACTTGGGTTAATTGGGTAATTTTAATGTGCTGAGTGGAAAATTAGTAACTTGTCTTGTGTGAAGACAAACTTGTAGATGGTGCCCTTTGAGCGTCATTTCAGCATCTGTTTTCCTAAATATCCCAATTCTTGGTCCTGCAGTGGGATTCTGAAATAAGCAGCAGGCCACTTGCTGAGGAGAACTTGTTCATCACAAGTGAACTCTCTATTAGAAAGTGTAATATGTTTTGGTCGACAAACTTTGAAGCTGCTGTTTTTTTGGTGTGCTCATCTGTGTCAAAAGTAGTTATATGTTTTCATATCATGCCAGCTCCTGTCAGATTATAGAACTAGTACTGAGACATGATCGCAAACTGGAAGTTTTTATCAGGTCTGTTAGGATAGGAAACTGGCTACAGGCTCTCACCATCATCCTTGGTTTACTTTGCTGCATCTCATTCGACAGTCATTGTGACAAGCTAGCAGTCTCAAAAGGGGGGAGGGGGGCTTTTTCTGAAAAAGTGGACCTAGAAATATTTGTGTACCTAGATAACATTTTACCCAGAATGCCACTGGCTACAGGCCTGTATTTGATGGTCAAAGCACCAAGGACAAGGGACGTACAAACAGTTGTAGCTGTGGGCGAGGATCTAACTTTGTATCCTTCAGTTTGAAGCTTATCTTGTAGGAATAGCCTTCTAACAAATATCAGTTGATCAGGTGGTAATAAATGCTTATTGAATGTTGTGCATTAATGCAGACTGCCTTATCCTCAAGTTGCATTGAAGTAAATAGTCCAACTTATCTGCAGAGGACACATTTGCCTTTTAACCACTGTCTATCATGCAGTCAAATTGCTCCTTGAATTTGTCCAGGAAAATGTATTTCTTCTCTGAAAGGGACTCTTTTATTTGACCCATACCTAACACTGCTATGCCACAACAACATGTAGACCTACTGTTAGTATAGAGACCCACAGCTAGCAATTGTGATAAACTTGTGGCTAGTAAGTTTGAAGATTCGAGAGAAGCACTGGAAGTGTATATCAATGAGAAATCAACATTTGATGGTTTTTAAAAGCTAGAGAGAAACGGTTACGGATGTTCAAATGGTGTAGCAACCTGTATTCTGGGCAAGAAGATAAATACCATAAAAAGGTGCCATTCCACCTGGTTATATTCCCCCCCCCCCCCAGCCTGTGGCCAATATAAAATGTCCTCATTTCTAATTCCATAATATTTTAGCTAAATATTTATGTACCCAAATGAATTAATTCCCCCATTGCAGTATTACAGAATGCTGTAATAAGATTTTGAATATTCCATTTTTTTACATGTCTTATGTGAGGCTACAATGGTTATTGTGTAATAGGCTGTCTTTGCCCAGTATGAAACAAGTTTATATCATGTTATTAAGCTTTAAAGGTCTCCCACATGTATCTGAAGTTTTTGAAGAAATGTAATTTATCTTGGGGGAAAAAAGCACAAAGCATTGCTCGACTCCTCCCTGCAATAGAATAGGAAGTTTTGAACAATGTTGTTCTGACATATAGTGGGATATTCACACAAGGTTCAGGTACTTGATGTTTTTTTTTCACTTTTAGTTCCTGTATAATGTAAAACACAGCTTTATTTAAACATATATCTGTATAACACTTAGTCATTTTGAAATGGGTACAGTATACCCTTAAGCCTTGTAAACCGAATGTCATTGATTTAAATGAGTACTATGCAGTAGTGCCGATGCCTTTTCTGTAATGAAATATTCTTTAAACAATCACCTGTGTTGTTTTTGATTAGTGTAAAATCAATTTTTCTTAAATGTTGTGACAACGGCAATATGTAACTTAGTATGAATCGATACTTTAAACATGTTTCTGTGACATAGGGTTATCAAAATATAGACATGATGGCATTTTGTTCAAGCTAAAAATGCCATGACCTTGAAAATAAGGTCATGACCTTGACCTCTGGTGGCCTAGAAAGCATTTAAAATTTTTTCGCAGAACCTCACTTAGTAGGAAATGATATTCAAACATGCTTCTGTGACATCTAATTACAAAGATTTAGATAATATGGGAATTTTCTGCTCAAAAAATGCAGTGTCCTTGAAATTATGGTCATGACCTTGACCTCTAATGACTCTGAATAAATTTGCAAAAGATTGGCAGTGCATTATTCAATAATAGTTAAGACTAAAATATGTTTTTGTGACATTAGGTTACCAATATATGGACATCAAGTCATTTTTTTGCTCGCAAAATGTAAAGATCTTGTGATTAGGTCATGACCTTGACCTCCTGTGACCTTGAAAGTGGTTGCAAAAGATTGGGGATCCCTCACTTAGTAGGAATTGATACTTTAAACATGTTTTTGTGACATTGTGTTCCCAAGATATGGACTTCTGGTGACCAACCCCATTCAATGGCGGCCATTTTGGATTTTCGCTGAAAACAGGACTTTGCCATGGGGGGATTCATGGGGGAAATTTTTTGGGTTATATTGGGCCTTCAACGGACCAGAATCAGTTGAGAAACCTTTGTCACCAATTTTTTCCAACCTCAATGGGGAAAATAGGCTCGTTTACTGGCCTATATGTGGACATTGAGGTTAATAGTTTATCTCAACCGAAGTTACAATACTAGTCTCTTTATACCTCAGCTTAATTTGGAACTGTAAGCTCTTATTGTATCAGTGTTTACCAAGACACCCTAGTCAGAGAATGATTTTATTGTAGCCTCTACTTGAGAATTATTGACATGAAATTTACCTTGAGTTTACCTGTTTTAAGAAATTGATTTTGCAACTTAGTCTATATAATATGGATGATGAAGTTCCTTGATGGTTTTTGTCCCTTATGTTTTGATGGAAATAAACTTCCTGTTTCTGTTCCAGACCTGGTCGTACCAGTGCCAGTGCCACAGGACGAGGAGTGTTGTCCATGCAAGGGTTAAGTTATGGTGTTGTGAGGGTGGACTCTGAGAACAGCTTGACCTCTCTCACTTTACAGGACTGTGGTCAGGTCATGCCGGGTGGTATGTATTGTTAGATACTCTAACAAAATTGGGGATTTGTATTGTTAGATACTCTAACAAAATTGGGGATTTGTATTGTTAGATACTGGGGCATTATGTGTTTGTAAGAAACAATACTATAATAATATTTGGAACTGTATTGCTAGATACAATAACAAAATTTGGAATAAACCTTTTAAAATATTGTTTTTCTACTTATGTGAATCCAGCAAACATTAGCCATTGTAGCATCTATGAATAACCCTGCCTAGGATTTATAAATTTTGTAGCATTCTCCTCCCAAACATTGACAGTTTCACTTTCATTTTGCCAGCTACAATGGTTGTGGTGCGCATTGATGGACCCCCATACCTATGCAAAACAGATGAGGTTGGGGAGCTGTGTGTCAGTGCAGCATACTCGGGCTCCGGGTACTGGGGACTGCAAGGCATTACAAGTACTTACTTCAAGGTGCGATATACATTATAGTTATTATATTATCTGACTAGATCCTTATTGCAGTTAATAGTCAGCTAACTTCATTATCACTTTATATGCCTATTTGATTTATACCTGAGAAACTTGATTTTTGTATGAAGGGTACATCTATTAAGACAATGATGAACTGTCATTGTCATGGCCTTCATATGTGTCAAAAGAGAATGTTCTTAATTTTTCAATGATGTAGAATGTTTTTTTAAAAAAAAAAAATTTTCTTCCAGGTTCAACCCCTCACTGTAGATGGCAGACCAGTAAGAGAGAACCATATGTTTGTTAAAACTGGGCTACTTGGGTTTCTGGGTCCTGTAAGTACAAGTCTCCATAGTTTGTAAACTACAGAATGTATGAAAAAACTACAGGTCTTATTGTACTGCTGCTAATACTGGCATGTGCCAGTTGTAAGGAATTAATACCTTACTTTATAGTTCCTAATCTGAATTTTGAAAAATGTTTCAAATGTATTTGTTGCTAGATGTAAAAATCATATGAGTGAAAATATGAATAAGTTGATGGTTGAAGAGAGAGCATTATAACTGCTGTTTCCAGGGTGGATTGATATTTGTGTGTGGTAGCAGAGAGGGGCTAATGACAGTTACTGGCAGACGACACAACACAGATGACATCATTGCAACAGTTCTAGCTGTGGAACCTATGAAGTTCATTTACAGGGGGAGGTAGGAATGTTCCCATAGGCTAAATATACAGATATATGAATACTGATGAGTATATCAAATATACCAGATATGTGAGCACTTTTATGTATGTTAGATTCCTAAGAGTCATTTTTTTGTCAGCTTTTTTTCCCCCTTTTATAAATGAGGAATGATATGATTTTGATGACTCGCCATGATGACACGTTTTACTTTTAAACAAAGTTTTTACGATTAGGGCAACTTGTACTTTACACACGTCATCTCTGTTCCAGGATTGCAGTGTTTTCAATGACGGTGCTAAAAGACGAGCGCATTGTAGTGATAGCAGAACAGAGGCCAGACTGCTCGGAAGAAGAGGTAACAGTTGGTGTTTCATTCACAAATTTTCGTAACTCAAGGATACAATGAGCACACCTGTACATTATTGTATCCTGGAAGTTCTCTTGAACAAGGACCATTTATTGTGTATAATGTGATTCTGCTGTCTTTGTTGGAAATAGAAATGTTTGAATTTAATGTTTGGGTCTTTTAAGTTCTATTCATGCCTTAAAAATGAGTATGGTTTTATAATTACTTCAATTTTGAGCCTTGTAATGTAGATTTCCATTTTACTGATGTCTGGTGTTTTCTCCTTTTTATTTGCAGAGTTTCCAGTGGATGAGCCGTGTGCTACAAGCTGTGGACAGTATACACCAGGCTGGGGTCTACTGTCTGGCCCTGGTCCCACCTAACTATCTACCCAGGGTAGGTGACACTTGTCTCTCTCACATTATATAACCAGATCTGATAATTCTGAGCATTTAAAGGTAGTGATGTGACTCATACAAAATGGGAATTAAATCTCACTGAAGATTGCAGTAAGCAACACTGTTCGTGTCTACTTCAAGATAAGATCAAGCTTCTGAGCAGGCATGAAAAAAACCTCACAGATCTCATAAAAAGTGCCTATTTGTAGAATTAACTTCCCAAAGTCTGCTTGTAAAAATTATCATCTTTTGTAGAATTCTATACCATTTATAACAAATAGTCAGAATAGGAAAATAACATTATGGGACATTTATTTGATGTCGTATATATTTCCAGACTCCTCTGGGAGGTATTCACATACACGAGACAAAGAAACGTTTCCTCGAGGGATCTCTCCACCCAGCCAATGTACTGATGTGTCCACATACCTGTGTTACCAACCTGCCAAAACCAAGAGAACATCACACTGGGGGTCAGTAGAATACAGGGCACTATTTATGTGACCTTTTTTTTAGAATAAGAAAGAGAGGCATTTAAAATTTGTGGAGGAAAGTTGTAGTAGTTCATCACATTGTCATATAAAAATAAGAAAGTAAGATTTTGAATTTCCAACAACTTGACTCTTGCCTAATCATTGTTTCAGCACATTTTAATGCAGCGCTGTTTACATTTTATTAAACAGTTGTGTTTATGTCAAGTTATGGGTACGCCATTTTCTTCTGTTCCAGATGTAGGTGCATCTGCTATGTATGTAGGTAATATAGTCCAGGGGGCCAGGCTGGCTTGGGCTCAGGGAAGAGATATTGGCTACTTAGATGATGACAGCGACTCAGCAAAAAAGGTAGAAATATCATACAATGTATTAGATTTTGAAATTGAATGAATGACAGGAATTTATTCATCAGAAATTAAAACTTGTTTTAGTACTTTCATTGTTGAGAATGGTAGTGTTCACAGTTACAATTCTTAGATGAAATATAGAATCGGCATTGTCATAGTACAATACAAAAAAAAAGAAAGCTATGAAATGTATCAAGACTTATAAATATTTAACATTGCATTGATTTTGGTATTTATTCTACATTAAATATTTAATATTTTAAATAATTTTTTTAAGTGGCCTCTTAAATGGAGATTCCAATTTTAAACAAAAATGTTCTTGATTTCAGTATCAGTTCCTGGCTGAAATATTACGCTGGCGGGCAGAGGCCACCCCTAACCACCAACTGTTCACAGTGATGAATGCAAAGGTGAGGATCACACATGTTGCCGAGATACTGACAGAAAGAAAACTGAACAAATATTAACATGTCTATACTTTATGGTGAAAATTGGTTTTTGGATATATGCACTCCATTGACACATGTAAAAAAAACTTTTTTGTTAAGATGAGAATGAAATAATTTCAGTTCTTACAACTGTCTG